TTACCTTTTCAGTATTCTCAGCTTTAGTCATATCTTCCAGCATGCAACTTAGATCAGAGATCTCAGAGAAGAATGTGTTAGAAGTGACATAAAGAGAACCAGATATTCTCACTGTCATTTCATAAAAAGTTTTCAAAAGCTTCATTAAGCTTTCAACAGTCTCCCAATCAAGGAAAGAAGGTGCAGAACCCAAGTCAGCAGAAAAAGAAGGATCATTTTGGTGATATGAGTCAAAGACAGTTTGATATTGAATTGCAGTGTTGAGCATAATGTAGGTGCCGTTCCACCTTGTAGGGACATCAAGCTGCAAAGCTGATTTGGCTTCCACCCCAATGAGTTCCGCAAGCTCTCTGAAGTTATTCAACCTAGCAGGTGAGTTCCTAACCCATCTAATTGCATCCCTCACCCTTTTAACTGACTCATCTGCAAACCTCAAGCCACTTGAACCACTAAGTTTAAGATATGAGCTATACACCTCATGTGCATATACTGCACCCTAACAGAAGAAGAACCCCAAGACAACAGCTTGCTTTTAAAAAATCCCATAGCTGTATCATTAGAAGAAGCATTGTCCACTGTCACAGTGAACACATTTTTAATCCCCCACTCCAACAGACAACTCTCTAAGGCTTTGGCAATATACTCCCCCCTATGAGAAGAAACAGGGACAAAGGAAATTATTTTTTTCTGAAGCCTCCACTGGTCATCAATAAAATGTGCAGTAATGCACATATAATTAATCCTTTGGACAGAAGTCCATGTATCAGTGGTTAAACTGACCCTTTGAGTGCCCACCCTAAACAACTTCTTAAGACTCAACCTCTCATCTAGGAAAATTTGGTAGATATCCCTAGAAATAGTCCACCTAGAAGGAATCTGAAACCTAGGACAAGCTACAAGAATAAACTTCTTGAACCCCTGACCCTCAACAAACCTAAAAGGGAGTTCATCTACAATGATCATCTCACACAATGCCCTCCTAATGGCCTCTTGATTAAAGACCCATGTCCCCAAAACCCCCATAGGAGCCTATGTAGCAGAAGTTGAAACAGCATTCAAAGTGAGAAGGGACTGCCTAGTATCCTTTGCATGAGGATTTTTAAGGCATGCCACCATATGATTTCTTAAAGATGATGTGCCATGTTTCTTAGACTCACAGACAAACACTTCCAGGTAGTAAAGGCACTTGCCTTTAACCATTACATTTTCAGTGTTTTTGATATTTTCAAAGTGATCCCAAACTGGAGATCTAGACTCAACCACCTTCCTCTTTTTTGCAGGAACAGCAGGAGCAACCTGAGGCTGCTTAGCAGGATTCTCAGTGCCTTGGGCTTGTCCTCCATGTCCCTCTTGAGTTGAGGGTTGAGGTCCAGAGTTAGGAAGATTGTAAAGGTCCAACAAATACAAGTACTTCAAGTACTCAGCAAAGGCAACAAGCCAACAATCACATAAACATACAAAGAAATCAAGATTCAGACACTTTTTGTGTCATCATGTATCAAGATTTCACATTTTCATATTTACATATTTACATTCAATTAAGGGTAATACATCCATAAACATACTCAAAGAATGAAAGAAATTCAGATTCAGGAATTGTATCCAATTCATCATTATCTGGATTTCAGTTAATGGCTTCCACCAATAAATGGAAATTTCAAGTTTGAAACTTGATAATTTCACATTCAAGCCTTTAACTTTTATGCAAATATTATCCGAACTCCTTTATCCGACGTCGTATAGGGCTGCGAATCGGATATGGAATCTCGGATGGCGGTCGGGTCGGATGCCTTGGTTTCGGACTTCGGATCGGACGGATGAGTCGGGTTGGATCGGGTCTGCACAACCCTAGTGACGGAAGCGGTTTTGTGAAGATGTCAGCAAGCTGGTCAGTAGTGGACACGTAGTTCACCACGAAGTCCCCTAAAGCTGCTTTGTCGCGGACGAAATGATAGTCAATTTCTACGTGCTTGGTGCGTGCATGGAAGACCGGGTTTGCACACAGATATGTTGCACCTATGTTGTCACACCATAGCGTCGCTGGTTGACCGGAGTGCAGCCCAAGCTCCCGGAGTAAAGAGACCACCCAGGTGACCTCAGTAGACACATCAGCTAACGCCTTATACTCAGCTTCAGTGGAGGAGCGGGCCACGGTGCGTTGCTTCTTGGATAGCCACGAGATAAGATTATCACCAAGGTAAACGGCATAGCCATTAGTACTTTTCCTGTCGGTGGGACAACCTGCCCAGTCGAAGTCCGAATAGGCATAAATGGAGGTTGAGGAGAATGGAGTAAGCTGTAGCCCATAGTCAAGAGTTCCTTTGATGTATCGAAGAACACGTTTCACAAGATTCCAATGGTCAACCGTCAGTGAGTGCACAAACTGGCACAGCCGATTGACTGCATAAGCTAGATCTGGCTGGGTGATCGTTAGGTATTGTAAAGCACCGAAAATGCGCCGATACTGAGTCGGATTATCATAAGGAGTATCGGACGGGGTTTCTGATTTAGTGACAACAGCCGGAGTAGCCAGGGGCTTACAATCAACCATGCTTGAGCGGCCAAGAAAATCTGTCATGTAACGACGTTGTGACAGGAGTAAACCATCGCCTACCACAACCGTTTCGATACCCAAAAAGAATCCCGGTGCACCCAGATCATGAATCTTGAAGGGGAAGGACAGACGTTGCAGTGGAGTATTTTACGAGATTGGCATCATTACCCATCATAATGATGTCGTCGACGTAGACCAGCAAGAACACACGGGATTCCCCTACAGTGTAATAGAATAAAGAGACATCGGTCTTGGATGCCAGAAAACCTGTAGACAATAAAAAGTCATGAAGACGTTTGAACCAAGCTCTTGGCGCTTGTTTCATCCCGTAAAGATATCGTTGCAGGTGGCAGACATGACCGGGAGTCATAGGGTCCTCATAACCCGGAGGCTGTTTCATGTAAACAGTTTCAGTAAGATGCCCATTTAAGAAGGCATTGTGAACATCTAGCTGTCGAAGAGTCCAACCCTTGGATATAGCCAAGGAAAACAACATTCGGACTGTGGTAGGCTTGACCACAGGACTGAAAGTGTCAAAGAAGTCCTCTCCTGCAACCTGGTTAAACCCTTTCGCGACCAGACAAGCTTTATAACGTTCTACAGACCCATCAGCAGTGCATTTGGTGCGGAACACCCATTTGCAGCCAATAATATTCATATGGGGTTCAGGCGGAACTAGGCGCCAGGTGTGATTATGGAGAAGAGCAATAAACTCCTTATCCATCGCCTCACGCCAGTGAGGATGGCCCACGGCCTGAGAGTAACAAGTAGGATCTGTACTGACAGTCAATGCGTGAAACGGCTCATCCGAGCCCTTGGTCATGTGGCGTAGTCGCATGACATGGTCACGACCTTGTGGCTGTGCACGACGCTTCCGGGTCCATGCCGGTGCGGTGTGGGTGATTGCCAGTTGTGGTGGCTCACGAGCCAAGGGCACAGGTTCAGCATCACATGTCATGTGTGGACTGATTTGGCCATGACTTGACGGATGAATGAGCAGTGTGCTTGTCGTCATGATAGGCGCAATAGCCCATGGTACGCTCGGTGAGGGCGGTACCTGTTGCAAACACTGTGTGGAAAAGGGGAAAATACTTTCATCAAAACGGACATGACGGCAGATATAAGTCTTTCCACTAGCCAAGTCAATGCATCTATAACCCCTAAAGGAGGAGGGATAACCTAGGAAGATGCATGGGGTGGAGCGATACTCTATCTTATGCCTATTATATGGGCGCAGATATGGGTAACACCGACACCACTGCCCGCCGGCTGCCTGCTGGAATTAGGCACACCGGGCAGCGGGTAGGTGGCGGGTACTCGTGCCCCCACCTACTCCCCCCCCCCCCCCACTGATACACAGGCAAATTTTCAGTCCCAGGATCTCTCGTGGAACCCGAAATCATGTACAGACACATTCCAACACATAATGATAACACCACGGATTCGATTAACGGAATTAAACCAAGAATCATTCCAAATACATTCTAACACGATTCCTAAACATGCCAAGACTCAACATTAATCATATAACGGTTCAAGAGCATCCGGAACCTCAAGAACATCAAGAAATCTATATGCAAAGCCCTAAAGACAAGTCCTAGTCTAGACTCAACACCCGATCATGCATAAACCCACCCAAATATACCAAGAACATCACAACAACGAGATTCACGATATAAACCCTAGGGACAAGCTCTAGACATAATTAAATACAAGATTACACATATAATCAATCACAACATCAAGATCATCAAGATTATCAAATAAACATAATATAAATCCTAGGTAAGGCTCTATCAAGACTCAATCACAGAATTGCACATACGATTATCAAAGGAGCCAATGAATAAGATATAGCAAGGAAAATAGGTTTTGTAAGACATGGATTACCTCTTATCCCTAATCAATATCCTTGGCTACTAAGGTTCTTCTCTAAGATCTCCCTCTAATGGATTCCTCTGGGTTCGGTGGTGGGGAATTCATTTGCTAGTTTTCCTCGGGGAATATCTCGCGTGGTAGAATTAATTGTAGTAGTGTTTCTAAATGCTTTCGAATCCCCTATTTATAGATTCAGGAGTCCTAACTAGAATCTGAATAGTAAATGCCCATTTTCCTATTCCTAATAGAATTAAAGACTTGATTTAAGGATAAGGGTCCATGATCCATTGTGGACCATACTAGTTAATTAATGGGAATTCTAGCCTAATTAAATCCTTTTTAATCATATGTTAACAGAATAAATTCCACGATTGGTTTGGATACGAAGGCCGTAACACGGGGTGTTACACTTGGAATCCTGGTTAGGGGGTGTGCACACTAACAAGTACGATACCTGATTCTATGGAGATTGAGATAAGAAGCAAGAGAATGGTTGTAACACCCCAAAATTGGACTTCCAAAACTTTCGTTAAATGACATTACAATTCAAAACTCACTATAAATAGAATTACCAAAAATAAATTTTCTTATAAATTGTACTTTAATTCAAGTCTCAAATAATTCGTAATTCAAATTCTAACACTTATAGGGTGCTACCGCCACATCTAACCTATCAAGACTAGATGCAAGGCTAATCACAAAACCGTCAAATCCTTCAATTACATCTATTACATTTATCCCTTTCTTCTTCTAACGCGCCCTTTCACTTCATGCTTTCATCAATTCCTGTTAAATAATTTTTGAAACACATAACAAACAATGGGGATTAGCAAAACATGCTAAGTAAGGGTTACTTTGCCCGGAAACAAATTTTAAAATAAAATAAGGTACATTACTTTCAAAAATAACTTTTCTTTCAAAATCACTTACAAAACCTTCTTCATTTCATCAACAACCAATAAACACATCAAAATGTACCTTTAAATATTTAATTCATTTTCCACATACCAATAATCATTTTGGAAGACATCACCACAATAATAATTAGCCACAAGGCTTACTTAAAAACTAATATGTGCTTTTAAAATATTTGATTTCTCTTTTCAAGTAAATACAAGTTTTTATGGAAAATCACCAATCAAATAAATGGGCACGAAATCACAAATCCGGTAACACAAATGGGCATAAGATCACATAGCCAATATAAATGGGCGTAAAATCCCATAGCCAATATAAATGGGCATCAAATCCCATAACCAAAATAAATGGGTATAGAATCACATAGCCAATATAAATGGGCATAAAGTCCCATAGCCAATATAAATGGGTATCAAATCCCATAGCCAAAATAAATGGGCATCAAATCCCATAGCCAAAATAAATGGGTATCAAATCCCATAGCCAAAATAAATGGGTATAAAATCCCATAGCCAATATAAATGGGTATAAAATCCCATAGCCAATATAAATGGGTATAAAATCCCATAGCCAATATAAATGGGTATCAAATCCCATAGCCAATATAAATGGGCATCAAATCCCATAGCCAAAATAAATGGGTATAAAATCCCATAGCCAATATAAATGGGCATCAAATCCCATAGCCAATATAAATGGGCATCAAATCCCATAGCCAATATAAATGGGCATCAAATCCCATAGCCAAAATAAATAGGTATAAAATCCCATAGCCAATATAAATGGGCATCAAATCCCATAGCCAAAATAAATGGGTATAAAATCCCATAGCCAATATAAATGGGCATCAAATCCCATAGCCAAAATAAATGGGTATAAAATAACAAACTTAATATATATAGACGGTAATACATATTCTTACTAAAGAAAGAGAAATTATTTATTTATTTATGTATTCCATACGGCAAATACATATACATCCAGCAAAACACATATTTATTTGTTGCTTGTAAAGCCACCTTCACTGCCACAAAAAATATTAAATATATATTTATATGCATAAATATTATTTAATATTGTTAATCATAATAATAATCTTATAAAACAGAAAGATTATAGAAAAATTGCGTTTAATAACTATTTTAATAATATTCTACTTCTTTCGAAATTCATAATCTAAATCATTTTCTTTTATGATAATCAACCAACAAAATTCATAATTTTCTTTTGAAAACGATAAAGGCAAAGTAAAATGAAAACAACCACTTACTTGAAGCGAATTTCTCTTAAAATTTTCCTCGTAATCCTTTAAGGATTCAAGGCTCCTCTTTAGCTTGAAGGGACTTCTTAAGTCTTGAAGAGAGAAAGAAGTTATTTTTTTTTTTTTTTTACTAATAATGCCGAATGGGAAAGAAAGAAGAACAAGGAAATTTTAAAGTGAACACCGGTCAAAGAAGGAGAGGGGAAGAATAATTATATAGCTCATCATTCCTTCTTAGTCAATTTAGTAATTAATAGGAGAATATTCTAGGTTTGTAACTCCCAATCATGTATGGTATAATGGATTACATCATAATTATATTATACACTATACATATTAAGATAACTATAAAATATAAATTTTCCTATATACACACCATCACTCACGGTTTACCATATATATATAATCTAATTATATTACTATATATGTATATATACATCTCACACGTTACATATCTATCTATAATAATTTTAATAAGAGCCAATAATGTTAGGCCCTTAACTAGAACAAAAAAATGTCGGTCCTATTGTTTCTTAAAATGAATGGTTCATATTATACTATTGTTTCTTAAAATGAATGGTTCATATTATTTTTATTTTAGTATTTTTTATTGATTTTCTTTATTTACCCTCTACAATTTTAATAAGAGCCAATAATGTTAGGCCCTTAACTGGAACAAAAAAATGTCGGTCCTATTGTTTCTTAAAATGAATGGTTCATATTATACTATTGTTTCTTAAAATGAATGGTTCATATTATTTTTATTTTAGTATTTTTTTATTGATTTTCCTTATTTACCCTCTATTATATTATTTTCTTCCCTTAAATAACATAAATTCCGTTAGCATAAACTTTAGTAACGAAATATTCCGTTAAGTATTTATTATTTTAACTTATACATTAATTTCTATAAGAAAAGTCTTAGTTTCGAACCACATCCCAATTAGAGTTGGCATAATTGTTAAACATATATACTACGAATATATTAAAATATATTTAAAATATATATAATATAAAATTTAACATAAACTTTGTTCAAATAATTAGTCTGACTAAATACATAACATTCAAAGTTAAGCATCAAAGATTATAAATCAAGAAATTTAAAAATCATTTGATCAGAAAAAAACTTAATATTCTTTTGATTATTTAGATCAGAAAAAAAACTTAATATTTCAATTATACTTTTGCATTAATATTTTTTATATGTATTTAAAAAAAAAATCAATGATTGCCTTATTGTTGATGAAAAGTATATACGCCACTTTATTACTCTTATTAAACTAAATAAAGTAGTAGCTACAACAAAAAATAATACATATTTAATTTAGAATTAGATGTCTATAATGCATTTATTTAAAAAAAAATTATTCATTATAAAAATTTAAAAATAGATATAATTTCATTAGTTATATTATCTTTATTTTCTACAATTCAAAGATTTATTACCTTCAAATTTATCAATTTATTATATTCACTGCATTGTCCATTGTCTTCTTTTTACATTATCTTGTAATTAAATATCAAAGTGATAATACAAAATACATTATATATATTTATTTACCAATTAAGTATTTTATACAAATATAATAAATATTAATATTTAGTTCAATACTTTCATATGATAACCTACACACACATCTCACAATGCATGAAACATGTAGGGGAAAACTACCACTACCAAATATCGATTAGAAAATTCAATAAATATTATCTTGCATTTATATATTTTGAATTACCGATTTAAATAAACAAATTCAATATTTATTTACATATGCATGAACATCTCCGATATGCATGTCCACCTTGCAAGGTGGACATGGTTCCATAGCATAATTTGCCCACTTTATTGCTCTTAAACTAAACTAGTAGTTCCACCCGTGCGATGCACGGCAATATATTTCAACCATATAATATATATTATTGTATAATAAAAAAACACTGCCTCAAACCAATTCAAATGTATTAAACATTATTGAATACTTCTTTATATACGACGTTTGTAGTCGTATTTTTCGATTGTACATTTTCGTCATAAATCAGAATTTTTAATCCCTTAGGATTACTAACTCTTGACAATGCTACATACATTTGACCATGATTAAAAACCGGCCTCTTCAAAAACAAACCCACGTTGGACAGTGTTTGGCCCTGACTTTTATTTATTGTCATTGCATATGACAACATTAGCGGAAATTGCTTTCTTTGGAATTTAAACGGCAATCTTGGATCAGAAGGTGTTAATGACATCCTTGGAATTAAGACCTTTGTACCAGCACTTGATCCAGACAGTATTTGAGCTTCTAAAACATGATCCGCCAACTTTGAAATAATCATCCTTGTACCATTGCACAATCCCAATGAGTGATCAATATTTCTTAAGAGCATAACTGGGGAGCCAACTTTTAGAGTCAATGAGTGATTTGGAACTCCAGAACATCGTAAGCCATTTAAAAATTCCGGGGTGTGCAGATCAGCAAGCATGTCAACATTAGAATCAGATTTGCATACCGAATCACAACTGAGATACGTCCTTCCTTCAGCGTTGTTATAGTCATTCATGTATTCGTTGACTGTATCTACAACATCCAAAGTTGGCGCCAGTATCGCACGATCTTTTAGATATTCATGATCTCTGTGGCCACTTCGAAACATAGGGAATGTGCTATCAACAATTGTAGCAATAGGATCCTCTCCACAGTTGAGCAAAAATTGTTCCGGAATATTTATCTCAGATTCTCCATCCATTGAATCACCAATTGTTCCATCACCTATATTAGCAATCCACTTTGCAAAATCCGCAATCTCTTGAACTTCACTATCTGATTTCAAAGCCCTAAGCCGTAGATTCTTTGTTAACCTAAACACTTTACAGCTTCTCCAAAGATAGGAAGAATTTATACTTGCTAGCACAATATCTTGCCTCGTGCCCTTTGGAATGACTGGTAGAATCTGTCTGAAATCTCCACCTAACACCACTGTTTTTCCACCAAAAGTCATATCAAAGCTGTTTGGATTCTTGGCACGCATTATATCTCTCATAGAGCGGTCCAACGCTTCAAAGCAGAATTTATGCATCATTGGTGCCTCATCCCAAATGATCAACTTACATTGCATGATCAAGTGTGCCAAAGGACTGCTTTGGCTGATATTGCAGGTTGAATCTTCGTTAACAGCGATGGGTATTGCGAACCTTGAATGGGCAGTTCTTCCTCCGGGTAATAGAAGAGAAGCTATGCCACTCGATGCAACGTTCAAAACTATCTCACCCTTAGACCTTAGAGCCGAAGATAATGCTCTCCACAAGAATGTTTTTCCCGTTCCACCGTATCCATAAACAAAAAAAAGTCCTCCAAGATTATTCTCAGCATCTTGCAATACGTTGTCATATATTGTTCTTTGCTCTTCAGTTAGTTTCTCCACCAAAGTATCATTCTCTTCCTTCATTACATTAACATCATATGCCAATTCCTCCTGTACCAGCCGATTAGTTGTTCTAGAATGATTAACTAAATCGGGTATGGGCATCCCTTGAAAGTCTTTCAGACTTTTTCCCATAGCTGAAAGCATTATTTCTATCTCCGTAAGTGCAAAATTCTTCTTTTCATCTTCTGATATAATCCAATCTGTGATAACATTATTAACAACTATTATAATTTTTTTGGTCAAATTGTATCGTAACAGTAAAAATGAATAAATACAATACCTGGAATTCCCAATTCTTGTCTAATCTTGAATTGTGCATCGTCGGACAAATGAATCCACGCAGCTTCCCACACCACCTTTGGTTTTGCTATTGAGTTGGTCATCAAGAGAGTGACAAACAATCTTCTCAAATTCACAGGTGTTGCCCAGTGACTTGCTTCTTCTATAGCATGAACATATTCCCTGTCGTCATCTACTAATCCTCTAGCACAACACGCATCCCTAAAAGATTCATATTGGACGCCATCAACTTTTTGTATGTCTAAATAACTTGTGGGACCTTTGACTTTATTCAAAAGACACCTCAAATAAAATATCTCCCCTGACCCAGGAGGCACATAGAATACTCTACCGATTGAAAATCCTCTTTTCCTTGGCTGCCATTTTCTAATATCTTTCTTCCATACAAATTTCGTTGGCATTTCAGCATATGTCAAATTCCTTGCTTCAGGGTAGGTTTTATTTGCCTCAAACCATTCTAGGAACATGCTTTGTAAGATTGTTGGCCGGCTGAGAATGTTGTCAACGGGATCATCATCTGCGAAAACAACACTTTGTTGATTCGGCAAGTGAAAGCTCAATCGTTCCACTGATGGTGTCCTAAACTGTATATCAAAACCGAACAACCGCCACGATGCTTCACACGGCGATATGTACCTACAATCATAGTACATACTGATTTCATCAATAACCTGCGGTCCATCTTGATCATTGCTGGTCCTGTAAAACTCTGCTGTAACCCTGTCGTGACCCTTGTTCACGTACTTGAACAGGTACTTGATTGAACGGGACTGATTGCACCATTCAACATTAATATGAGCCCTATACTTTAACAACAAATGCCTATTGTGTGGTACAACGTACCTATTATCCAAGTTAATCCCATTGCGCGTCACGGAACGACCATTGTCTCTTCTCCGATATATAGGATAACCATCCTCATCAAAAGTTGTGCAATTAACAAACTTTTTGGGGAAATGTTTAGTACATTTACCATTCGCCATACATGGAGAAGTCAACCTGGCTTTCCCGCAAGGTCCATGCATCATAAACTCCTCAACAACTTTGTAGTATTCTGCGTCAGCTTCTTGATCAGGTAACTCAGCTGAAATAATGTGGTCCAATTTTTCTACAGAATGGGTTCCATTGATTTTATCCAGAAACAGGAGAATATGAGCATGCGGTAATCCTCTTTTTTGGAACTCTATGGTATATATCACTGTTAACAAATAAGAAGAAATAATAAATTAGAATAGAGCAAATAATAGGTACAGTGAATTTTCTCGCACATCTTGAAATAGCGGCATTTAATTAACGTACCTCCCATTACTGGTCCAAATAACTTGTTCTTCCTACAGTCTGAGATTAGAACATCCAATTTCATTTTGAATAATCTACATATGATGTCAGGACGATCTTCAGGTTTTAACTTTCTATCATTCAAAAAGCGTTGTACCTCAGGCCACTTGGGGTTGCATGTGAATGTGATAAACAGATCAGGATATCCGACCAATCTACATATCGCCATGGCGTCCTGGTAATTTTGAATCATGTATCTAGCACCCCCTGTAAAACTCGAAGGCAATATTATTCTCTTTCCTTGAGTAGTGGGGTCAACTTCACCGCGTGTTAATGCATCATTCAAGCAATTATACGATTCGCACCTCAAACTTTTTTGGTGTGTCCTTATATAGATTAACCTTCCTGACTCCACCATTGTATAGGCATCTACCAGAAATTGTTGGAATAACCTCTTTGAATGCAATAAAGTAGATACCTCAGAGACCCTCGACATTATACGGTATGCAAAATATTCTCGAGGACTTATCCTTTGACGACCAGTTGTGTTTCCTTTTAATGTAGAGAAGGGGATGTCTTCCCTGTATCCGTCCTCACCATACGGAAACAACAGAGGGTATTGCATCGGCAAGTAAGCTGGATTTAATTCGCTAATTCTTTGCAAGAGGCCAGTTTTCGTCTCCACCATAATGTCCCGTTCTCCAATATTTGTATCAATATCACCGACAATTAATGCTGCCACTTCAGAAACTTGCGGCAAATTGTATGTTCTGGCATCCTTTGATCTCTTCCCAAGCAATTTAATTTTGACCTCAGCAAGTGGATTCTTTTGTAGCTCAGATCGTGCCATGCGGAATGATTTGACCAAGACATTACATGTATCCAACACTTGTTGAATATCATTAACAATCTCTACATGGATTCCGTTTTGCTCACCATCTGGCCTAGAAAGAGACAAAAAAATCATATGAATTATGCACATATAATATGAATGGATGTGCGGTATAATATGATTGTAAGTATACATATAATTAATTAACAGGTACGTACCTTACAGAATTGATACGATTACTAAGTTCATTATTAGTATCATATATATATAACTGGGCAAAATGGGGTTTTTTCCCGTCGACCGGCAAGAGACTACCAATGTAGTGAAAGTTTTGGCCATTTATCCTGAAAACTGGTGGACCACCGTTCTTGTTCACGCTTCTATCTATTTTACCACCCATGGACGTGAAGCAAAACATACTATTGTATGTTCTAATGTTTTGCAGGAATTGCTTGCTTTTTTCTCCTTCTCCAAAAAATAGATTGTAAATTGCATCTGGTGGCATCAGGTTTGGTGGCAATTTAATCTTACCGTTGTTGCAACACATTGAATATCTTGGGGTGCCATGAATAACTGTTTTGTTTATCCTTTCTTCGTGCCAAAAAAGCGCTCCACAATGTTGACACGTGTTATTTGCATCACCAAGATCTTTGTATTCAACTACATTGATAATTAAATATTATTTAGGTCAATTATATAAGATGACCTTAAACATTTCATATTATGCATACACGTATTGAACTGATTATTATCAAAAAGGTGAATGCGATTGGTTTCTACACTAAACATAATAACGTACACCTAAAATAATTTTGAATTTACGTAAGATTATAAATAATAAAGGAATTACCATTTGGAATATGTTGTATAGGTTGTTGCGGAATTTCGACCAATCCTACGATACAGTAATACATTTGATTTAAACAACTAAATACATAAACTTTAACATTTTTTTTGTAAAGTAACTTCGGAAATGTTAGTGTATGTTGAACTTACCACAAGTGTCTTCCATTTGTTCTAAAATGCGATTAGTATTGCAAACTTCTTCAAAATCTTGAAACAAATCGCGGTTGACCACATTATGTTGGCTATGGTCTTTACCCTCATTCATGCATGGACTCTTGTTGCATTGTCTGGTTGCGACTTTATTTTAAGTAGAAAAAAAAAGTTTAATACATAAAAATAACTACTTAAGCAAAGTTAAAAATAGATCTAACAATACTTACGGTTTGATATATTTTGTAGAGGTGATCGTGTGCTGTTCGACATAGTTATTGTACCCTCTGCAACAAATGAAAAGTTTTTGTGTCTGTCATTGATGATATCCGAGTTCTGATATGAAATAAAGAATATTAAGTATATGCCTTAATATAACTAACCGGGAAGTGTAGAGCTTGTTGTACAGGATAAATAGGGAGTTCTGCCGCCTAATACAAAATGTCTGGAGTTACTTTTGCTTGTCGTATATTCCATGAGGCATGTACTCATATTTATATTTATACTCTCTGGATTCACTGCAGGTTTCCAAAAATGTTAAAAAAAATAATAATAAATTCTAAATAGTGTATTAGACCTAAGTAAATGCCAAACGGTATTACATTTGAAAAGTGCAGAGCGTTTACCTGTTGTTAGACCACTTTTTGGTGTATCACTTGAAGTACCCACTTGTAGTGGTGTGCATTCCGTATGTAACTTTGAGCTATTTTTTTTCAAAATAGCGTTGTGAGTACTTGTAACCGGAGAATTTTCAACATTTTCTGCAATTAAAAGGTGCAAATATTCATAGATAAGTACCTTTACTTTTAAACATAACGATATGATTATCTAAATAATTCCAAATAAAATACATTTGTAATATACTAATTTCTGGAAATTGAGCTACGTAAGTTATATATTTTGAAAGTCACTTTTTAATCTACCTAGTGTACATAATTGTATATAATGTACCATAAGTCTAAAAAATTACAACTTAAGTACAGAAATAAATTACATTTAAATATACTTTGAGTATATTAAAAATGTAGATGATGGACCAATTGTTCACCCAATATTGTGGACCATTATCCACAACCTAGATTTGACCAATAATTCTATAATTTAAAAATCAAAGCAAAATTTACCTACTAATTATACCCAATATAATGTTAGAATACTGTCATTTGCATTTAGGGGTCTTCTAGATGGATCTGCCATTTCTTGATCCATTCTCTTCCACACTCTCGTACAGCTAGCATCCTCTCACATCTACCTAACCTTATCTCTCTATCTGTTCAGACAAAAAACCCCATCTCCGACAGTAGAACTCGTCATCTGCCATTACAGTGTTGATATCTTCTTTAATTCGTAGAAGATCTCAACCCCTAAACCGATTGCAGTAAGATCCGATTAGGGTTCATTTGTGAAAACCACACTGAGATCGGTTTAGTTGTTGTTCGAGGATCTCAACTATTAATCTCCGATCTTGGTTTTTAGAATCGGATCGGCATTTTTAAGGTTCTAACGTCAAGCTTCGTATCTCAATCTTCAATTACTATCCTATTCGACTACATCAGATGTAAGGTAAGCAAGTCTTATACCCTATCGTAGTTTGTATTTGCTTATAGATTAAGTCTTACCATCTAATTGTAGATCAAATTTAAACTTTTTTTTTTGTTTCCTAATTCTAGATCAAGCAGATCAGAAAATGGGTCCGTACGGTGTTCATGACTTAGATGCAGATTAAAGGACTGAAATGCAAGATAAGTTTAACAGTACAAATTTGTTTGTCTAAATTCTTATCTTAGAATATTTAACATATTCTAGATCTTTAATTTGTTTTTGTATTATTGTCTATATACCTAACATCAGACATTATTGGCTTCTGAGTATTCCTAGGATATTATACACTAACCAAATGATACCTAATTTAATTGCAGAGGTGTAGTTGTTAGATCTATATCTACACATTCAAAGGTGGGAAGGTAAGGAGGCATCAACAGAGTTCAATAGGTGTAAATTTGTGCAATGAACAAAAAATTCTTAGGTAAAGTATAAATTTTCAGTTTCAAGTAGTGTTTATGGTACCTTGATTGTCGAATGTTTGCTTCCTTTTGCTTCCTATTATTGTAGAAGCAACTATTTTCCTCATATCTGAGCTGTTATTGTGTATGTTCCTGTGTTTTGTTGTGATTTTATTTGTATTAGAAATAGTTGTATTCAAATAGGTTAAGCTTTTATTGGGTTTTTAGCATTTAAGAGTGTAGTGTAATAGAAATGATGAAAAGTAATGATATGACTCTTCATTTTTTATTGGAAAACAACAAAGCCAATTAGTTTTTATGATATTGAATACACATGTTCCCACTTTCTTTTAATTATTTAGTTTATGATGTACACAGTTTTGTTTTCTGATGACTGGTTAAGTATGTTGTACATTATCTATGCTATAAATTATTGTATAGTCTGTAAACAGGTTTTCTGTTTACACTTTTTTTTTCTTTTCAATGTTCCAGGTTATCCTCATAAATTCATCATTTTAGTTGTGGTTTTGGAATAGATATTGTGACTAACATTTTTTCTAAGCTTTGGCAAATGATGAAGTTACAGTTCTGATGCCCTAACTGTAAACAGCAACTTAGTGGATTGCAGAGAATTAATTTTACATGTCTATTTCCCTTTTTGGTTGATAAGCCTTAATTATTATTCATATAAATAGTTCTTGTGTTTTTAATATTTAGTACATCCAATTTATCTTCCAAAGGTTATCTGATATGTACTGTGATGTCCAAGGTGATAGGCCTAAAATGTCAAAGTTTATCTCATATGGACTGTGATGATCCAGTTCCAAAGCAGTCTGACTTTGTAACAGTTTTAAATTATATTTACTTCAATGGATTGCAGTTTACCAAATGTTTTTACTCATTTATCCTAAATATATTCTATTTAGTATACTTTGAATAGAATAAAACTGAATAGAAAGAATATACTGTTCATATTCTATCTAAACTAATTGAGAATGTAAATGAAATTGTAACTAATTAAAGGTTGTTTTGATTGGTGGTTTAGGATTTAATTGAGTTATTTATACACTTTTCTTCTTTAGAAATTTGACCAATGTAATAGTTATGTTAAAAAAACACAAATAGACATTACTTTGAATTGTTTATTTTGTATTCACATTTTATCACAATTAGTCTGAATTGTACTGTTATGAGTCCTATGTACTGTTATGTAGTGTTAACATTAGGTGTGATATGTACTTTTCCTCATGTCAACCGTGTTAGTCCCAGATTGTGTACTTTGATCTCAGATAGACATGATCATACATCTTGTAATTTGAAAACAACAGTTTTATTTTGTAATGAGGAAGTTCCCTGCAGTGTTACTCCTCTATTTCAAATTTACCTGTGTATGAGTTTTTAATTGACATTTCTAGGCTTGATTTGGGTTCGGTATACATTTGACTTCTTAAAATGTAATTTCATTTGAAACTGACCAAGTGAATTTATGCTGAGTTTTTTTTTTTTTTTTACTCTTTAAATAATGTTTAATTAAAGATATAGGAATGATAAGTGTATTGTGTTTGTTCTTTGTTTTTTGATGCATAAAAACACCAATGATATACAGAAACTTAATAAATAAAGTCAAAAGTGTGAGCAGTTTCTTTTATTTAAAACTTAATTTCAAACTGCTTAAACTTAAAAGTGTGAGCAGTTTCTTTTTAATTATAGTTTGCTAATGATGATATTTAGAGTGTGTGAGTTAATTATTTTAAAAGAGTACGATGTTTCCAATGTAAATATACAGTTTTATTACATTATATAAAGTAGCATTTTAAACTCACACAGTTATGAAAATTTGATTACATTTGAATCTGACCAAGTGAACTTTTTTTTTTTTTTTACTGTAGAAAAAACCATTATTTAAATCACCAATGTTTGTCTGTATAAATAACCATTTTGATTGTATATATCTTTTTTTGTTGTATCATACTGATCAAAGACTAAGTTGTACACTTTTTTGATGATAGTTTGCTAATGCTCTACATTTAAAGTGTGTGAGTTGTAAAGTACCAGAACAGACTGTTACCATTGCAAATAATAAGTTTGATTACATTTGATAGAGTCCAATTAAAAATTCAGACTTAATAATTGATAGAGTACAGTTTTCAAAATAGCAGATTGCTACAGCTTAGTAATTGAAAACCATTGTGTGTTACACTGGTTGAATGTGTTTGCTTCCTTAACTACCATATACTTGTGCTTGATTCCTTGTGATTGATTCCTTGTGTTTGATTCCTTGTGGTTGCTTCCCTGTGGTTGCTTCCCTGTGGTTGCTTCTTTCTTGTCCTGCATTCAGATTCATATATCTAACAGTATATGTAATAAATAGAGTGTAATGAATGTTTACCAAAAATCATAGGTAAAAAACAAAGGTAAATAGTCTAATCATAGATTAAAATAACATGAAATTGTTCAGGACAAACACAGTCCAATTTAACATGGCAAATGATCATTTTAAAAATATATAAAAAAAAAAAAACCACAATAATGTGGTAATAGTTTGTAGTATCCCAGAACAGCTCAGATTTTTTCTTGTTTAACCACCACAGTTTTTCCCTTCTTGCTAGAGGATGAAAACTGGTCCATAAGCGATCGCTTCACACCATCCGCCTGTGAATGATCATTGTCTAGGCTTTGAGACTGATGTAGATTTAATGGACTGTTGACCTCATTGTCTCCATTTGAAGCTTCCTGCATATTAAAATAAAGTTTAGTCTAAAACCTGTCAACCATAAGATTAAAACTGTACAACTTTATTTGACTTTAGTAATAATCAAAACCTGATCCGAGTCCTCCTCTTCCTCCTCGTCCTCATCTAACATTTTTGATATCAAGTCCTTGTCTTGGTCTTCAATCAGTTTAGAACAGTATGCTGACACTAAGGCTTCATCCCTTAGAACTTTCATAACAGTGTAGACTGAATTAGCTCCCTTCATGAACTCCATTTTTAATGATATCCTAAATACCATTCTCATACCCACTAATGTTTCCAATTCTTTTGGAATGTCAGAAACCTAACAAAAAAAAATAACATACATTCTAATAAGAAATATCATCTCAGACTCTGTATGTACGTGTTTAATTTAGAAGAAATTTAATTTTACCTTATTATACTTTGTGTACAAACTGTGTGCTGGGATACCAACTAATTCAGAACACTCCCTATCCCATAATAGGAAGGGAGCATCATCTAGACCTTTATCTAGAACAATAACTCTGACCCGATACCTTGCCATTCCTTCTTTATATTTCTTATCACAATTGGTACAAATCAGTTCACCGGATTCGTCAGAAAGTTTTCTGTTACATCCCGATGACATGCAAGAAATGTACATCCATCCGAAAGAACCTTCAATTGCAACAATTTCAGCCGGTACATAGAACTCCCCATTCTACATTTTTTTTTGTTTTAAACTAATTGGTTAGTCTTTCATATGTAATCTATCTTGTTATAATAAGAGATAAGGTATCCAAACTGTATTTATGACTCTTTATAAATATAGAGACTAACCTGTTTCTTTTTCAACAGATTAGATACTGTAGTTACAGTCAAAGCACCCCTGGTAAAGTCATCTAGGCCTGCTGATTGAGACAGCACTGTTGCTGTACTTATACTGCGCAAAGGACTGTTTGGAGCAGTTAACCTACAGGTAAAATTAATAAACAATTGTATAAATGTGTAAAACAATAGTTTTGAAAATGTAGAGTGTAGATAAATAAAAATTTAGGCACTTACTGAGACCTAAAATCAGCAAATTCCTGGTAAGATGCATTGAAATGAAGTTGGGTAGCATCATAGCAGCTAGTGATTCTGACTTCACCTATTTAGCATGATAGATGTAAATGAAGACTGGAAAACCTAGAAATAGTGTAAAAGAATAACCTAACATTATAACTTACCATTGACCACCTTTGCCCGACATAGCTGTAGAACCAAAATTAATGGTTCTTTAAGACCTGCATCATAGTAGGGTAGCATGGCACCAACATGACTGTCCCACACAGTGCACTGTAAGGTATTTCCCCTATAAGCAAGTGTGTTAGAAAAAATTTAATGTCTTGAAATATAGGAACAGATTTGTAATATGAAACTTACTCATTATCAGCCATTTTAAAGTCTATGAGTTTTGCTGGTCTACCCACTATTATCTTGTCAACTGGAGCATGGATCTCGACAACTCTGCCTATTAAATCTGTATCATCACAAAATAAATGAATAGTAGACGAAATACAAAAATAGTTAAAAGAAAAATAGCAAAAATAAGATCAAAATACTTACCAAACAGCACCTTGTCATTCACTTGAGTAGGGTCTTTCAAAGAGTCATAGTTTTTTAGTTGAAACATCTTAGTAGGAAAACCTTTGGATTTTATGGCCTTAACCTGAGTCTTATAGTTTGGCCTGATCATATACTTGTGATCACAAGTTTTGTACATATAGTAGTGGGTGAAGACCAAAAAATTTTTGACTGAATACAGCTTCCCTTCTATGAAAACATTGTTATATTTTTTCACATCGTTATTTTGCATGTTCAAATGAATGAAAGTTCCCTGCAATAATGTTAGTGAAATAAATAAAACATTAGAAATAAATAAATAACCATAAACCCTAAGCCTTAAACATTGAAGAGAAAACAAAAAATGTGGATGTAATATCTGTTTAGCGCCTTGATTTGGTAGAGCAAGAAAATGGTTTAGAGACTTTAAACAGTAAAATAAAATATTACACACTATACTAAAATATAGCTCATAAGGATAACCTGGAACATAGTTAAACAGTGAACAGAGTACAAAAATGTGTACATCCGAATTCTGTTTAAAGCCTAGATAATGTAGAGCATAGATAACATAGAGCATAGTTAATCAGTGAACAGAAAACAAAAATGTGTCTTCCTCGATAATGTAGAGCATAGATAACATAGAGCATAGTTAATCAGTGAACAGAAAACAAAAATCTGTATAGCAAAAAACTGCTTAAAGCCTAGAAAATGTAGAGCATAGATAATGTACAGCTTAGTTAAACATTAAAAAGAACACAAAAATGTGTAGATAAAAATTCTGTTTAAACACTATATTTGGTTGAGCATAAATCTATGTAGAGCCTAAAAATTAAACAGTAAAAGAAAATATTAAACTGAACATCATACCTCTTTATCGCAAAACAACACTTCTCGCCTCTTAATCTCTGTAGACCCTTTTTCAGGGATTTCGTAAAATCTAACACACTTTACTCTGATTGCTTTCTCCCTATCGAGAGGACCAATATCCTTTACAGCTACGTACATTGACATGGTTTCTTTGCTGATTTGTTTGTTTTCTTTCTTCTGTTTGGCAGGTGATACGAACTGAAGATAAGGTGGAGTGGGGAGTGGATGTCTCCATAGTCATATGCTTATATACAATGTAATACTGCATTTCAAAATCTATGATTTTATCTTGGAAGTATGAATGCTGCGGGCGACCTTTCAGTTTTCAAGAGCATGGTGATCAGACTTGAGTCTCTTTATTATGAGTGTATTTATATTTATTTATTCGAGATTTGAGAAGTATGTTTTCGAAGAAGTCTTTAATATAAAGAGTCTCTTTAGAAGTCTGTAACTAATAGAAGTCTATTTAAAATGCTTTATTTTAGTTGGTATTACCAAAAATTCGCCGGCATAATTTAATTGCACGCGTTAATCTTTGTTGAGCGCCATTTACTGTAGACCTGAGTTTATATATATGAAGTGACGTCGTTTCATTTGAGCGGGAAAATGGTTTAGATAGAAAGTTGTTGCTTTATTATAATAAGAGATAAAGTAGTAGCTACAACAAAAAATAATACATATGCATTTAATTAATTTAGAATTAGATGTCTATAATGCCTTTATTTAAAAAAAAAAATTATTCATTATAAAAAATTTTAAAATAGATATAATTTCATTAGTTATATTATCTTTATTTTCTACAATTCAAAGATTCATTACCTTCAAATTTATTAATTTATTATATTCACTGCATTGTCCATTGTCTTCTTTTTACATTATCTTGTAATTAAATATCAAAGTTATAATACAAAATACATTATATATATTTATTTACCAAGTATTTTATACAAATATAATAAATATTAATATTTTGTTCAATACTTTCACATGATAACCTACGACACACATCTCACAATGCATGAAACATGTAGGGGAAAACTATCACTACAAAATATCGATTAGAAAATTCAATAAATATTATCTTGCATTTATATATTTTGAATTACCGATTTAAATAAACAAATTCAATATTTATTTACATATGCATGAACATCTCCGATATAATATTGCATTGATATACTTTGAAATACTTATTTAAAAATAATCATTGGGCATTATCCCATTCGCGCAAAGTGCGTAAAAAAACTAGTATCTGTAATATACATGCTACACATTTTATATAGTACATATGTGTCTAAAATATATATATATATATATATATATATATATATATATATATATATATATACTTTTATACCGTCCAAAATAATATAACACACCTTATACTAAAATAATTATTTTGTATTCTAAAATAATACACACGTACTTATAATTGAAAATTATAATCATATTTATTTCTTATTATATATATGTTTATTTGTTTATAACAACAATAACAATAACAATAATAGAAGTAAAGATGATGAGATTTCAAATGGCTCAATCAGAAAAGAAATGAGTGATAATTCGGAAAAGAAGAATAGAGAAGCCAGAAAAGTCGGGTATCACAATGGTTCTGTGGGCGGGATTGAGTATTATGCCGGCTAGATGCCGAGCCCGAATAGGTTCGTCCACAAATTGGTGAAATTCCTACCTTGCACACGGGTAAAGAAATAAAGAAAGAAAGCAAGAAAGTAAAGAAGAGAAAAGCGAGTCATGACACTCAAGAAAAAGAAGAGAAAAGCGAGTCATGAGACTCAAGAGAAAGAAGAGAAAAGTAAGTCCGTGTGACTCAAAAGAAACCTCCACAGAAAAAAGTATTTCTTTGACATAAGAGCGAGAATATATATATATATATACACACACACACACACACACACACACACACACACACATACTTATAGCATCATGACTTTTCTTGTTGCATGACTTGTATGATTTGTATTTAGAGTATGATGAGAAGTATAATACTTTGTTGTTGCTTATGAGTTGGCATGATAGCATGAGCTTGCTTGTTGAGTTTTAAGCATCTCTTTATCTATTAGTTCGAGCATGAGTTTGCGTATTGAGCTATGTTTAGAGATATCTGTTTAAAGCATGAGATTTGTGATTAAGTTGAGTATTTGAGAAGAACTTGTTTATATGAAGTATAAGTTGCAAGCATATAGAGTTGTTTATGAGCATGTATTGAGATTGTTGTTTAAGCGTTGCAAAGTACTTGAGATTACGTGTGATTGCCAAATGTTTTCCAAATCTATATCTATAGTACTTTACAGGGTTGAGTGGCTTTATACTTAGCATTAATTTGCTAACTGGTTTATTTTCTACTTGTTTTTATAACCCCTTTCAGGTGGGCCCAGTGTCTGAGAGCGCAGGACTTAGATTACTGTGTAGTTATGAGATGGTAGATTCTACTTTGAATATTGATGTTTAGATGTGGTTGACTGATCTTTTTGTTGGTGCTTGGACACCGGGGTTTGTTCCCCTAGTATTTGATGTTATTTTGATGAGCTTGACTCTAGTTAGTTACCCTTTTTGTAGCCTGTGCAGTCACCGCGAATGGTGGCTGTAGCGGTGATACCTGTTTATGTTGGCTTTAGTTGGTTTTAAGTTAATTAATCTTACTTATCTATCTTGTTTAAGTTGAAGTAATTGGGATTTCGATTTTAGAAAAGTAGGGTGTTACAGGAGGCAACCAACTGGTCGCCTTCTCTGGTAGATGGTGAAGGCCTCCAGATTGTCGCCGGAAATGGATAAAATTGATGTCGGAACCCTAATGACCTGTAATAGCAGGCCATTTATCGGTTTTTGGACTTTATTGCCTCAATATAACATGTTAAAGGGTGTAATTGTATTTTTTAAAGTTTAGGGGACTAATTGACTTTTCAGGTAAATGTTAGGTGCGTATTTGACCCTTTTCCCTTTTTAATTTCATTTTTCACATACTAGTTTCATTATAATAATACTGAAGTATCATTTTAGTTCTACTACAGGTTCATTTGATAATATACACTTATGTAATGTGATACACCATTGGTTCACGGTAACGATAGCCGTTTCTTTTAATTAAAAAAATGGCGTCATATTAAACCAAGATCCACCATATATATGATTGATCTAAGTTTTACCCGGGCCTGTTAGTGCATTTTTATGTTTCTTTTTTCCATAGTTTTCTTATTTTTCTATTAAAAATGATAGAAAAATGATTTTTTTTTTTATCTACATCTATTTTTCATATTATTTTTCAAATGAAAATACGGAGTTATTCAAAATTTGATTATTTTTCTTCATTTTAACCTACAAGGACAATGTTTGTGAATGGTGACAATAATATTGAGTGGTGCGTCATATATACACATTGGATCATGTCATCTAATAGATACCCCTGGTCGGGCACCCAGCCAGGTACGATGTAGGCAGTCGAGTAAAGGCGCCTAAGGCACTTAGCAACTTGGAGCATAAGGTCCCTTGTTGGATTGACAATTGCATGGTACTCAGGCGGCTCACTAGTTAACTCGGTTGGGCGACCAGACTAGGTAGTCAGTGTATCCGCGACCGAGTGCGCACGCCAGAGGTGGTTAAGGGCAGATTCAGCAAAGATTCTTTCCTTGTACAACAAGTAACTTTCTTTTCTCACATTAGGAAGATACTCCGGCAGTTTTAGAAGCTTTCCTAAGTTTATTTTAGTTAATTTCTCCTTTCCTACCTTCTTCAATGTCATATTCCTTGTATAAATTACCCCCCCCCCCCACCACCCTGGGGTCACATTGTAAGGGATTCAGAATTTGATACAAGCATTGTTACTATGTCTTAATTTTCTCTCATATATTCTCTCGTTTACTTACTATTTTACGGTAGTGTTGGCCCGCCGACCGGCTATCCCTAAGCCGTAAAACCAAAATTGGTGTCGTCCGTGGGGACCGATACAAAAGGTTTCGTCTCTAAACTTTGCTAATGGCACGAACTAGACGTAATAGACGCTCGTGGAATGCTGTCGCCGCCCCCGCGGCCAATGGGCACATCGCCGTCGTCGTTAGTGCAAGAGAGCGGCCGGCAGGGAGTCACCCTTCCATGGGAGATCTTCGAGAATAGCTTAGTCGCCGTAATTCTGGTGAGAGGTCGGCAACACGTACCGAGGGTACTGTCGCGCCAACTCATGAGACACCGAGGGAGAACCCTCCGAAGCCAGTCGCCCTGACCCTCGCGGAGGTGTTGGCCCGGGCGTTCAATGTGTACACACGAGAGGCAAGCTTGGCAGCGAATGCTACTCAGCTTAGGGCCGCTCAATCAGTTCCTTTAGAACAAGGAGGGCATGTTGACTCCTTAGTTTTCGAGCATTCAGTGCGCTCGGAAAGACGTGCATTCATGATTAGGGCCCGCAGTTCCCATCCGGTCAATTCTGGATCGACTAGGCGGTCGAGCCAGACACCGCTCATCCGCCCGTCTAGCCGGGGGGTTAGGGAGCGATCTGACGTGGAGCGATTGTGAGCAATAATCTAGAGGCGTATAACCTCCCGGCATAGGCGGGAAGCCGCTACTGCAGAAGGAGTGAAGAGTAGTGGAGAGTCGCCAGCAAGGCAAGGACAGCCGCTGCCGGACGTGGCTGACCTGATAGTCGAAATTAGATACCTGCGACAGAAGATAGAAGGGAAAGATAAACCAACTGCCAAGACTTTGCTAACCGCCTCTGTTGGTCCCGATAGGGTGGTAAAAAGTCTAGAGGGGGGGGGGGGTGAATAGACTTTTTAAACTTTTTCAAAGTAAATAATAATTTGGTAATTTCAACTCCAAGTAACAAGTAAATAACAAGATAATCAACTTGGATGCACCGCGGAATAATTTAACAATAAATGTTACGTAAAACAGAGAGATATATCACATGCAATACGATGGATATGCTTGAAATAGCTCAAATAATATGTATGCTAAATTTAGCTCGCATGCGGACGTGGAAAATACTAAACCCAGATAAATTTATAAGTGTATGAAATTGGTCTTTAATTAACTAGTATTTTCACCCGTGCGAAATGTGCAATGCACGAAATGGATTTGCTATAATATTTTAAAAATATCTGGATCGATATATAATTATATAAATTAGAACATCAAATAGTTTATAGTGTAATTGAAAAGATGGTTTGGATCAATTATGTTTTGTGATATTATCATTGCTTGAGTTCGACCAAATAATTGTTTAATTAATATATAGCTAATGTGTAGATGTAAACATACCGTGCTGAAACTTTGGGGAATTTATATATCAGTGTTTATGATTTGTATAACTTGAGCAAATGTGCTATTTGAAAAAAACAATAATAATAATATCACCGGTTCAAATTACACATTATTGAAAATCTCTTTGTAGACGACATTGGTAGTAGTAACAGAATCTTGTTCATCATCATCTAGAGCTAACGCCTTCAGGCCATCAGGATGGGTGACTCGGGAAAAAGCCACGTACA